TTTTTTTTTTTTTTGAAACAGTCTGTTACATAAATTTGCTGACGGACTGGAGAAAAGTTAAACAGTGAAGAATCAACAGTTTTTATTTATTTATTTTTTCTTTTTCATTCCACCAATTATACAACCCTTCGGACATTATCAAGAACTGCGTGTTTAATCCAGCTACATTTCACCTTTTTCCCAAGCTTCTAATTGTATGCTTTGTAGTTCATATAGATCTTTTTCGTGAGTTTCCAGTTAAGGTACATAGCAATATGCAAGTCGTGATTAGCTTTGACTTTTTACAGTACTTGAGTGAAGAGTCCTTTCTTTCGTTTTAGCCCATTTTCAATTCCATAAACCCTTTCGAAATTCAAGTAATCAATTATGCAGCAAGGAATTTTTGCACAAACCATAATGCGATTTTATTTTTGGCGGTTCTGCTGGTTTGTGCGCAACAAGCTAAAATTTAAAATATAATATGACCAGATATTTTTCAAATTCACTAGCCATTCGTAGTGCGTGTATTTAGAACCTGCCTTTGATACTTCAGAGATTAATTCCAAGAGCACTGACTGATTATTTGATCAAATTCCCATTACTAAAGAAAACCTTAATTCGACGATTCCTTCGTTGAAATCTTTCTTTTTACAAGAGTATGTAGGGAAGGTAGCCGCTGAAGTTGGTTGTCGTGAGATTGACTTTCTGACAACTGCACATCTAAAAATGGTCTTTTTAAAGTACTTTTAACATCTGTATTACGTGGTCTGCAGTTAACAGGTGAAGATGAGTAGTTGAAGGGAACGGAGGAAAAACAACATAAAACAGCTAGAATGAGAGCTTTAAAAAACAGTAAATTAGGCGACATATATAAAAAATCATTTTTTTTTTGGACACATTATGGTAAATATAATGTAATACGCGCCTTTATCCTTCAAATTGTCTTACTGTCAAGCATTTATTTTTATCATTAAATTTGTCAAACATTTAATGCTTATTTTTTCAAGCGAAAAGGTATTTTCTTTACCAGAACTACAGATGTTTAAGAAGTTTTTGATCCATCTTTTGCGGATCCAGTGAAAGCTTAGAATTACTTCAATGTCTGTGAGACTAATAGATTCATCAAACCTTGTTAAAAGGAATAAGCATATCCCGCTTGCCCTTTTCATCCTGTGATGCCAGCGCAGTGACCGCTGTCGAGGCAACTGGAACTTGGAAAACAATTGGAAGTAAAGACGAAAAGTGTCGGGGGTCGTAATCCTATTCAAATGTGCTCACAGATGTAAAACACGAACAGCGCACGAACCAGATGGGCGGCGAGAAGCGCGCGGCTGGTTCGTTCTGCTGTAAAATTCAAAAAAAGCGGGAAAATTTGTATTTAATGTTTAAATTGCTTTTGTTGTTTTTGGTCGTTGTTGGAAATTTTAAGAGCATTTGCAGCTTAGCTTTATTGATACACAGGTCTGTACAGTTATTTTTATTGCTTCCCGATAATTTGTTGTAGTGGTCGGTGTACATTTCTTTACTTACCGTTCTGGATTCCAAAAGTGCTTTTAATATTCAGGTATGCACAACATGGTTTCAGGCACCAATACATTTCTTGTAGTAGACTGTCATATAACTGTTCTTATCCTTTGTTAGTTGCTTTTTTCTTCTGTTATGGGGTTTAAGACGTATCTTTGCGGACTCTGTAAGCATTCTGTTATACGATTTTTACTATAATTTTCTAAGCATTTCAAGTGACGCCTTGTTCATTTTGAAACTTATAGGTAGCATATCAGAAAATATAAACGAAACTGACGGCGCCATTTCTCCAACTTACACCAGGGAAGAGTCACTTGAAGCGAAAGAGGTAAAACTTTACCAACACCCGACTGAGGCTCTTGTTTCAACTGACGGTAAAGACATGATCGAGGCACGCAAACATTTTTTGGTAATTTAAATGTGCAGTACTTTCTTCCCTTACGTGTTAACCTGATGCCAAGGAAGTTTTGATGACTCTCTTCCTGTATCTTTTCAAAATTTATTGCAAAAGAACCCATATGAA